AGGTTGAAAAAATGTAAGGCATGAACCTTAACTTCTGTACTATCTCTCTGACACTATTAAACATTTTAAAAAACAGAGAGACTCTGTGGTATTTCATAACCTAGTTTCTCATACTGTTTTTCATAAAATTCTATCTCTTTACTTTGCACATTGCTGTTTTTGATTTCCTTCAGAATGAGAGGTAAATTGGATATATCATGTGCTATGTCATTATAATAAGAGATGTTTCAAAGAGGTATCAAATGATTTAGACTAAGCAAACCAGAGAAGACTTGATGGATGAACCTGTACCTGACCTAAGGCATAATGATAGAAAAATAGTAGCATTTGAGACCCAAATTTATTGGAATTCAAAAGAAATTTGTGGCATTTATGTTTGGGAAGTAGGATTCTGGGTTACTTTCATTTGGTTACTTGAAGTTTAGAAAAGCTATACTTTGCAGGTTTAATAGATGAAAATCATTTTTGAAAAATATCTATATCTATGTATTTATCAATACATGATTTAAGCCTCTAAGCCATGTTAATTTTGACCTAGAGAAACAGAGCATAAGGGGAAATTATACTGAAGAACTCTTGACTAAAAATGGAGAATAGAATTATACCTGGTTTTAATGTCATTATGACACTATTAAGACGGTTGTAAACAAATATTAAAAGTATATACATTTTCAAAATATTAACCCAGGGCTGGAGCAATAGCACAGCAGGTAGAGCATTTGCCTTGCAAGCGGCTGACCCAGGTTCAATTCCCAGCATCCCATATGGTCTCCTGAGAATCGCCAGGGGTAATTCCTGAGTGCAGAGCCAGGAGTAACCCCTGTGCATCACCAGGTGTGACCCAAAAAGAAAATAAATAAATAAATAAAAATATTAACCCACCCAATATCAAAAATACTCCTACAAACCCCAAGAAACATGATCCCCTGAATTTTAAAGCAAAATATCTTAACAAATACAGAATGAAAGAGGATATATAAATCACCAATGGTCATATAAAGAGACATTCATGTTTAATGAATTACCAGTGAAATGGATATTAAAGCCACAAAGGAATACCACACTATGCCTAACCAGAAGAACTAAAGGGGATAAGGCATAACACATCAAATGTTGGTGAGGATGCAGAAAATCATAACCTTCATACTTTCTTGGTAGGAATGCAAATTGGCATATCTGTGGGGAAAAAGGTTTGGAGATTCATCTGTGGTAGACAAAATTCTAAGCAATTCCCAAGAATTCTACTCATTGGTACACATGTGATCTAAAACCCCATTCCATTTGGGTATAGCCTAAAGGACTACAGTCCTTATTAGTATAAATCTGGTAAATTTTATGTACAGGGTTGGATTCTGTGATAGAGGTGAAGATATATATCAAATAGAGACATCTCAAATCAGTTGACTTGAGTATATGAAAGAAACCATAAGAAAAATTCTCCTGAGAGGGTTTGACTTCACCTGGTTTAGCCTGAGAAGGGTCCTAACTTTTCCTGAATGGAGAGACTCTGAAGGCTATATTCTGGGCCATATGACAAAGTCAGGATGAGAACTTCGGGAGCTAAGATAACTCCTTACTCTGCAGTCAGCAAGAAAATGAATATTCTAGGTCTACAACTAAAAGAAGCTGATTTCTTCTAGGATCTAAGTTTTTAAGCATGTTTTTCCTTAGTTGTAGCTCTAGATGAGAAAACACCAGGTTAATATCTTGATTTCTGCCTATAAAGCCTAGAGCAGAAAATATAACTAAAATGTGTCAGATTCCTTATTCAGAAAAAATGAAATATCAAATTTGTATAATTGTATATACCATTATATTTGTGTTAATATCCTACATAGCAATTGAAAATTAATATGGATTTCTAAAACAAAATGAAGACATATGCCAATAGTCCATCCTAAAAATAGTCTCAACAGAAATCTATGTCTATATTCAATAAAATAAATATAATATTATTTTCACAGAAGAAATATTTTAGGTAACTCCCAACTAAAAATAGCTTGGTGAGCAAGAAAAGAACTTGGAAATACTAATAATATTTTATTTATTTGTTTGGGTATTGGTTACACATTGATCCTCTATGAAGATTTGTTAAACAGATATCTTTACTAAATTACATATCGATGAAGCTAAAATTACTGAAGGGGACAGGGAGATAGCTCAAAGTTATGAGTACAGGCTTTGCTTGCAAGAAGTCTGTGTTTAATCCCCAGTACAATGTGGTCTTTCCAAGTACTACAAAGAGAAAACCCTTAGAACTCTACTGGCAGTAGTTCCTGAGCACTGCTAGATGTGACCTCCAAACCAAACAAAATAAAATAATTGTAAATGCATTTCTATTACATAATAGCACAATGATAAGATTTACATTTTAATTTTAAATTATGATGGAGATATATGTAAAAGTTACCAAAGAATTTTACTTCTGCAGTTATCCTAGTTAATTTCTACATGAATAGAAAACAAAGCATAACACAACCAAACAAAACAAACAGTTATCACCTGTTTGGATTTTCACCTAAATTTTCAGTGAAATGATTCAGTAAATTATGTGGCATTCTTAATAGGGAAGTAAAATTAGTAGAGCATTTTGAATTTTAAGAATTGAGCTGCTCTATAACCTAGCAATTCCACTTCTGGGTGTCTAATGCCACAACACAAAAAGCATTCATTTGAAAAGACATATGCGGGACAGAGTAATAGTACTGTGGGTAGGTCACTTTCTTTGCACCCAGTCCACCAGGCATGGTGGACTCCGACATCACATATGATCCCCCAAGATACACCAGGATTGATCCCTGAGCGCAGAGTTAGAAGTAAACCCTAAGCAATGCCTGTTGTGGCCCACAAACAAAACCAAAAAACATCCCAAAGATGAGCTTGTTGATATTTTAAGGTGAATACATGGACATAATTCAATTTAGCATCTGATGAGTTCATCTCTATAGCTATTTGCTCAAATCCTAAGACCAAAACTATACTTAAAAAAGCAATCGTCAAGAATTAACAAATTGGGTCAAAAATGAGTCAGATACACTTAAATTTGATTAAATTTTAAAAATAAGACCCCAAGGGCATATAACAAGGAGTCAAGGAGGAGATAGAATATCTGCCTATATCGAAAAATTTCACAGCAGGGTAGAGTAACAAGAATTTCTGTATCAACTGTGGCTTTTGTACATTTAAGACAGAGGGACCTAATGGCCTTCTCCCATTTTTTTTTTTTCCAGCTTCTCACCAAACCTAATACACTCTGCAGAGTCCCTAGTTTGCTTTGGGACATGAACGGATAAAGAGCATGTAGAAAGGTAAGGAAAGCCTTAGCTAAGCTAATTACTTTATGAAAAACAGACTCAACAACAACAATAATAGCAGTCTCCTCAGAGTTGCTGAGATGAAGAAGTCTGTGAGAAATCCAGTGCATAAGCCATGCTAATAATGATCACTTTTAATTATGGAGCCAGGGTGCTGTATCTTGCCAAGCGTAGCTTGGAGGGTAAGAAGGAAGACAGGCCTGCCTCGCCTCTTTACTTTGTTGGCAGCACTTTTGGATGAGCCCCCAGATACTGGGCTAGAACCTCCGAGCGTTTGCTGCCCCCGCCCCGGGCTGACGTCTTCTTTCCCTGGCCTCACCCACGCTTGCTTCCCGGGAGCAACAAGTTCTCTTTTGCAGGACCCGCCCGCGCGCCACCGGGCAGACCCAGCACCTCCTCCCAGACCTCTTGTGAGAGTCGCTGTCAACCGCACCTGGGGTGGGAATCGCGCCTGCTGCCTACGCCCGCCCAGCGCCAGCGGGAGAGCCCGCAGTGATGGAGCCAGCCCTAGCGGCGGCCGGGAGGGAAGCAGGAGGCGTGGGAAGTCAACACGGAGGGACCCACCGGAGCCCCAGTTCGCGCTGCCCTTGAGAGGCAAAGCGACAGCAGACTGCGCCCACCGCGCCTCTGGCCGCCCCTCTCCTGGGACGAGGGGGAGGAGACGGACCCGGAATGCTCCGGCTTCTTACCCCACCCCTCTTCTTCCAGGCGCCCCCCGCGAGGTCCTCCTCTACTTGCTTCCTTCCCCTCCCCGCTGGCCGCCCCCTGGTCCCCCGGGGACGCTTCAGCTCCCTGCCAAGTGATTTCGCGGGTAGAACAAGTAGGTCGGCCGCGGCTCCCCTGCCTCCCCCTGCACCCCCAAGTCTGCAAAGGAACCCCAAGGCTGTTCTGTTTGTTTGTTTTCTAAGCCTGCGAGTTTTATGACGCTGCCAGGCAGTTGGGTTCCAACTTCTCGGAAGGGGGATCCCCGCGTCCTCTAGGGAAAGACCCGGAGAGACGCCCTACGTCCACGGCGCCGAGGGCAGAGTCGGGGAGCGCGCCCCGACTCAGCCGCGGGGTGCGGCGTGGGCGGGCGTGGGCAGGGCCGAGGGCGTGAAGTTGTGCGGGATTCGGGAGGGAGAAGGCAGCTCCCATGTCCCAGTCTCTGGAGCTGGGGTGCTGTCGCCTCTGCATAAAAGCGCAGAGACTCGAGTCAGAGAGAGGGAAGTCCTCCTGGCGCGGGGTCCTAGGAGAGCACCGAGGCAGATGGCGAGGTCCGAGCTTGGAGCCTGATGGGTCAGAAACTACTCCCGGGAGAAGGGGAGGGGGACGCGTCCCTGGCCAGACCGCCAGCCGCGAGCCCGGAGGTTCCGCGCTTCCTCCCTCTCCATCCCCAGCTGCCTGACGAACTTGGTACCTCGGACAGCAGCCGGGGCGCACGGCTTTGTTGGACCGGTGTTGTCCTGTTCTCCGCCACAAAGTCAAAGGGCAATAAATTCTCTTGATGACCTTAGTGGTACAATTTGAAGGACATTTTAATTACATAACTCGTGAAAAGATCACTGGAGGCAATGTCGTGGTAGAGAGCCGATGGCAGAATAGCTGCATCGCATTCGAAAGAGAGAAAACTTGCAAAAAACCTGCAATGGGGTTGCGCAGGGATGCCCCCGTTTTGAAACGACATGCGAAATGCAAGGGGAATCTTACCTTTCGGACACCGAACCCGTGTTCTGCTGCAACTTGGCGAGCTTCTTCCTCTCCCCCTTTATGCAACTCCACAAGAAAATGATTCGTGAAGACCGGTCTCTCGGCAGATGCAAAAATCATGACACAGACGAGGAGCCCGGCGGCCGCCTTCCACTGGGAGACACGGCCACCTTTCATCTTTCTTTGGACGGAAAAGTGGTACTAGGAGGCGCGCGGGCTGGCGGAGCAGGGGAGTAGGAGGGAAGGCAAAAAATATTTTTAAATATATATGTATATAGTTTGTTGTTATTGTTTGTTGAAAAAAATCTTTGTGTAGAGAGAGAAACTGTTCAGGGGGTGGGAAAACAGCAAATCAATGTGTGCTCTGGTCTAGCCGCTGGCCCGGGAAACCCGGCCGTCAGGCGGCCCGGCTGGCTGGAAGGGTGCGAATGTGGGGAGCTCTGTGCATCTGAGAGAAAGAGCGAGTGTAGGTCTGTGCTTGATGCTAAATCTGCATTTCCAGCTCCTCCTCATCTCCAATTCCTCGGGGCCGGAGGAGAGCACCAGCCTGAATGACGTGCGGCCGCCGGCGGGCCAATGAGGGTGGGAGGAGCGCGGGGCCCCGCCCCGGGCCGCCCCGGGACCGCCCCCGGCCGCCCCCGCGGGGCTGCTCCGCCTCCGCCGGCGGGGGGCGCCGCGCGGCAAACCCGCGCCCCCGCGCTTTCAGCACCCGGGAGAGCTCCCGGCTGGGCCGCGGCTCCCCGGAAAATCCCCCCAGCTTGAGCCGGGCGGTCCAAGGAGTGATGTCATTGTTTGTGAAAAATCCGGGAGGCTTTGGAAAGGGAATTATGGTGTGTGCCTCTCCCCGAGGCCCCGGGGGAGCCGGCACACCGTCTCTCCCTACTGCTCTCTGTCTTGTTTTCCATGCAGAACAACTTCTCTCTCTTTCTCTCTCTCTCTCTCTCTCTCTCTCTCTCTCTCTCTCTCTCTCTCTCTCTCTCTCTCTCTCTCCCCTCCTCTCTCCTCTCTTCTCTCTCCTTCTCTCTCTTCTCTCTCTCCCTTCTCCTCTTTCCCTCTCTCCTCTCTCATCTCCGTCGTCCCTCTTTCCCCCTCTTTCCTCCTACTCTCTCCTCCTCTCTTCCTCCCATCTCTCTTTTCTCCCCTCTTTTCTCCCCACCCTCCTCTCTCTTCTCTTTCCCCCCTCTCCTTTCCTTTCCTCCCTCTGCTCTCCCTTTCTCCTCAGCTCCTTACTTCCTTGTATCCTTTCCCCCCTCTGCCTCCCCTCTTCTAATTCTCTCTCTCCATCACTTCTCTCTCGACCCTACTCTCTCTCTCTCTCTCTCTCTCTCTTATTTATTGCATCTTTCCCCTTCTTTCCCCCTTCTCTTTCCCACAAAGACGTTAAAAAATATTAATTCTAACATTTATCTGGGAAAATCCCAGAGGAGGTTGTTTCCCTTTCCTGGCACAGAGAAGGGTGGAAAAGGCAGCCTCTACAGATAACTCAAGGTGCCAGAGTGCAAGAAGGGCTTTTTTTTTTTCTCTCTTTCTTTTCTGTTGTTTGTTCAGGCTCAGGGCGGTTCTAGCAGCTGGAGGCCTATCAGGAAGCCAGATTCACCTTCTCAGTAAGTGTGACTAGATGAGACTCCTCCAGGAAACTTCTCCAGAATCTCTTTGCCACTGCTCGCAGGAGAGCCTCAGAGATGCTGGACTCACCTAGACATGCATTTACAGACCGGAAGTTTAGATGCCACAAAGCCAGGGAGTTTGTGCTTTGGGAAAAGGGTAGCAACTGATCCCAATCCCAGGCAGCTCCCATGAACATTCTCCACTGGGGGAAAGTTCAGGCCAAGGGCAAGCAGTCAACCACATTACCAAGTTCAGGAATGTGCACTCACACTCAGTTAGCTGCTGACCATTTTTTTTCCTACCAGATGAGATGAAGCAGTCATTAAATTTGGAATGAGCAATGAGGGCATTTATTTAAAAGTCACTCAAGATTTGTTGCATCATGGAGTACACACAAAGATCTTACTTGACTCCAGAGTTCAAAGTCTTGCCTTACTTGAATAAGAGGAAAGAAGCCTCACACAAATAGATTGGTACCCTTTTGATTTTAACAAAAAGTTAGAATTTACATAGGAAAAAAACCAATTGGTAGAATGAGTACATAATGCCAAGGGTTACACACTATTTGGAGCAGATTATAGCTGATATAGATGACTTCCTGATAAGCCTCACAAGAATTGCTGAATAAAATGTAGGTAATACTGGAGGGTTTGAATAAGCACAACAAATTCATATGCAACTATTTATTTTATTATCACTATTCCTTTAAGCAAAGCTAAGAGCTCGGAAGGTTCATGGACATAGATAATAGATGGAAAGGTCCCACAAAGAGACAGAACTTCTTTGAAAGTATTAATAAAAGAGCACAGAGATACTCTGGGTTACTTAGTGTTTTATTTATCATTGAGTGACTTATTTATCCAGGATTTAAAATAGCATCTTATTCCGTTATATAGCTTACTCTCTCATAGAGCATTTATTTGAGTTTGACACAGCTTTTCTTATTAGAGACCTTAAATTTTTCTCCTCCCTCTTTTGATTTCATTTCACTCATATTTTGAATGAGTGGAGAAGCACCGAATGGTTCTTCCTGCCCTGTATTGTCAGTTGAGGAAAATGGCACCAAATGTGAAAATTACATTAGATGGATTCACAATTATGAAGAGCATTTTTATAGCAGCAACGGAGATAAAATCTAAGTCTTTAGAAAAATAGATCTGAAGAGCATCAAATAAGTCAATTTAGAAGATTATGGGTGTTGGGAAATTGTGCTGCTAATGTTGCTGAATCCCTCTGAAAATGAACACAAAATTACCATCTATTCAAAGATATTTATTAATTTTTTCTGAAATCATGGAGCAATTCTTAATTTCCTAAATAAGTTCCCAAAAGTAAAATGCTACTAAATGTTAAATTTTTTGTATTTGTTTTAATAATTAAACCCTTGTAAAATTGGGTAACAACTAAGTAAAGTCTAGATGTCTGATTTAAATAAGTCATTTTTAGGTTTGCATAATATACAATTAATAATAATTTGTCAAACAAAAAAGCAAATTGAAGTACAGATTTTTGGATGCAAGTTTTAAAATTCTGAAAGTGTAACAACATAATAAACATGTAGAGGAAATATGTTGATACAATGAAATAGTTTAAAAGACAAGTAGACACTGTTATTTTCTTTTAGATAATGTATCTGTTTCTTTTCTGAATTACCAAGAGTGACTTTGGAAAAAGAAGGCGAGCAAGGAAGAAGACAGTAGTGGAAGAATATATAATGTACTGAAATGGAATCTAGTTGAGAGTAACTTTATTTCAGGCTCTTTATTTCAGACTGGTTATGTCATTTGGGTTAAATCATTGTATTCTTGAAAGTCTCAGTCTGTCTGTAAATGGAGACAGTTGGATTATATACCTCTCAGTTATGAAAGCATGTAATTTTTCAAGTCATGTCAAAGTTCTGATTATGATGTAGAAAGCATTGTTAATGATGAGAGATGTTGAATAGCATACTTTTTGATAACAGTATGGTGACCTAAAGAGTAATTTATTGCTCTTTAAACCACCCAAGTCATTTTTACTAATTTTGAGTAAAGAAAAACTGACTTTCATGACAGTACAAGTTAGGGAAACTATCAGCATATTGAGGTTTTCATAATTTAAGATATTGTTGTATCTACAGAAAAAAATAGCACTTTTTTCTGTTTTAGATATTACACATAAATTCTGAAATCTCTTGGAAGATCAAGGATCAGAATTCTCATTTGAAAGCACCTTGATAACTCAATAAACACATATTTGATTAATAGAACACAATCTTCTAAGGAATTATTGGGATTTTCCCATTCAGATATAATTAGGGGGAGACCTTCACTCTTAAGTCAAGAAAAATGCATTATGCTTTTAATGCCAAGAAGAAGGAAATGTAGAAACCCTAATGCAGACTAGTGAATCTTAAATTTTATTTCAACCATTAGGGGGAAAGATGTAGTCTCTCTTTATCTTCAATTGTGGAGGAGTGAACAGAAAGGGGAATAAGACACATACAACAGGTCCAATTTAAATGTTTACAATTGAAAATTTTCACAATTAAAAATTTACCATTTTGTTGAAAACAAGGTTAAGCTTTGACATTTTTGTTGCATTAATTTTGTGCAATATTTATTTCATTGGTGCTACAATTCTTTTCAACATATTGTATTATTGAACCTCTCAGGCAGAATCTTCCTGATGACCTTGCTTCTCCAGCACCTTCAACCTCAAGCCATGTCCAGGTTTTCAAAAATTGTTCTCGCTTTATAGGTTTTTATCTTTTGTTTTGTTTAGTTTTTGTTATTCTTGTGTCATATTCAGCAATTCTCAGGATTTAATCCTGGCTCTGCAATCAAGGATCCTGAAAAGACTTGGGGAACCATACAAATTGCTTGGGATTGAACCCAGGTTTGTTGCATTCAAAATGAATACCTTACCTGCTGTGTACTATCACTCCAGCCACTCTGTCAGATTTTGAACTCAGTGCTAAAAGGTTTTTAACATTTCCTCCATAATCTTAATTTTTAAGACATCTATTTCCCTGTGGTATTTTATCTATATCATAATTTCTCTAATTTAAAATTAATATTTTCAGAAAAAATTAATTTGTTCCAAAGTCATTGGAACACATATGGCAATTATTTATAAATTATTGTCATTTTTTATTCTACCTTGAATTCTTATAGACTTTTTCAATTTATATTTTTTCCTTAAATTTCTCTCTATTTCTTCTGCAGTTGAAGTCTCAAATTACATTTGTTGTCTAAGCCATCTTAAATTAATGTAGTGGGTATCAAGTGTTTTATTATCATTAAGGTATTGAATCTAGAGTGCTTTAAGTCGTATTTATTTCATAACATTAACAAGTCATCAAATTTATTCAGAATAATTGACTCTTTATAAACAAAAGCTACTCATTGCTTCCTTATTTTCCAAAACATTAAAAATTTTGTGCTAATTTAAGCTCCAGCATTTTGATAAGATTTGAGTTGGTTTAACAATGAGGAACATTATTCCCTTTAATCTTTAAAATATAAAAAAAACACATTGCTCTTCACTATTTTTATATCTCTCTTTAGGTTCATAGGACTACAAAATAATGTTTTCTCACTTGGAAAATTAATTAGTTATTTCTAAGGGCTTATTGGGACATTGTTTATTGTCTGTAGAAAGTGTTACCTATTCACAAATTTTATACACTGTGTTATTTCCATTTTTTTCATGTTTCTTTTAAAAGTACGGTGAATCTTTCTCAATTCATGTTTTTGGACCTTATCTTTTGCAAAGAGATGCTTTTCTACTCTGTAAACTACCTCTAACATATGAATAATTTATGCTTTGTTAATAGATATAAACTGGAATTCCAAAACAATAAAATTTTTATGTGCAAAATAAAAATTAAAATATTAAAATGTGCATATTAACTTTTAAAATCTAAGCCTTCTCTTGTAATGAAACACCT